CAGCTTACCCGTGCTTTGCGGGATCCGAAAAAGAAACGTGCGCGTCCTTCAGTCAATCCAAGCCCAAGCACGGAGAATATGCCTTGGTCTCCCGATATGCGCGTCTACAGCAGCGACAGTCATCATTGCGCGTGATTATCCAGTCAACGCATACATCCGCGTAGACGCTTTGAGAATGCACATAAGACATTTTGCTTGGTTTCCTGCTCATAACCTCGCTTCACTTCGAACTTCCAGGCCCCACTCAGCGTTCAGCGCAACTGTAGCTCAGCATTGCGCAGTGCTTCCATTGCACTTTCACGCATGCAGCACAGCCGCCGATACCATTATGGTGCCTACACCCACTCAAAGCCCTTCTTACAATTCTTGGCATCCAAAATAAGTAAAAGTCGGCACATCTAGTCCCGAAAGAGGCCACATACTTTTCCTGCAAGAGAAGCACAACGGACGCCTCTACATTTACACGGATGGCTTGGTGTGTTCAGTAAGCTCTGCAGGGGCGGTGGTTGTTCCCGCGAGGCACATTACAATTAAATCATGACATCGCATTTGACGTCGTCGACAGCTGCAGAACTTGCAGCCATACGTGCAGCTCTGGAGTTTATAGTGAAAAAACCTTCGGGAATTTGGTCGATCTTATCGGACTCGAAGGCATCTCTTCAATGTCTCATGTCACCCTTTCGCCATGGACCTAATGAACAGTTAGTAGCTGAAATAAAGCTTCTTCAGCACCAAGCAATCGAAAAACAGCACAGCATAGTGTATCAGTGGATACCAGGTCATTGCGGTATATATGGCAATTACCGCACAGATGAGGCCGCTAGATCTGCACACGATGGTACCTAATACACAGCCATCCCGTTCTCAAGAACCGACGCAGCTACAAGACTTCCTTCGCTTGCACGTAACCTCACACTGGTACAGTGAAACTCAACAGATTCACAAACGCGCGCCTGCATAACTTGGATCCCGATCTGCAGCTTCGTCTTCCCCCAAGGATATCTCGAGCTGAGGAGACTCTTCTATGCTGCCTGTGGCTTGGAGTGGCCTTCACGAACGCATACTCTCATCTCATTGGGATGGCCAGCTCTCCTACATGCACTTACTGCAGCTGTGAAGAAACCATCGCGCACCTTCTGCGCTGAGTGCACCCATTTCAACGCGCAAAGACAAGAACCCCACTGCAACTCTGGATAGAGTAGACGATCAGCCTTTGTCGGAACAAAGGATTCTGGGTCATTGACCTGAGCCAATCCTCAGCCCAGAAGGCTTTGAAAGCTTTGCTGCGCTTTTTGCGGACAACTGGCCTCAGAGACCGACTTTAGTGTCTTATACTCTTTGATGTTGCCTTTGCTCTGTCGCGATTTTTTTTTGTAATTTCTCCCTCTCTTCGACACATTTCTTTTTAACATCTTTCATTCCCCTCACCCCTTTCCTCAGCACAGGGGAGCCAGTGGGTCTAAAAACTGGCTAACCTCCCTGTCTTTCCGCTTAACCTTTCTTTCTTCTCCTCCTTCCAAAACAAAACGCATCACCTCGATGCTTACGCATGTGGTGATGCATAAGCTGAAAGAAACTAAACGAACCCATTTTGGGTCATTGACGGAAAAAAAAAGTGGTCACGCTGCGGCATAGTCGCACTAACGCGTGAAGTACAGCATCAGTCGTACAGCGTTGCCAATCTCTGGATAGTGTTTTCGACGCTGGGGCGAGATGATTCCGTCTAGGACAACTTCATAGTTCACTGTCTATCACGCTATGCACCACTTTGTGGGGTCGAAAATATACTTAGTAACTTTGCGGACAACCCTTGGCGGTTCACCGGCAGTGAGACGCAAACTTGATTTCTTGGAAAGAATTCCACTTCGCGATAAGCGAAGATTAGAGCAACTTGCTCCTGGCCGACTGCTAAGCTTCTTTGGCATAAAGAGTGAGCTGCTCAGCGTCAGGTATAAACAAAGCGTCGTAATCCTGCGGCAGCACAGTATCTCGCCGGTCTGGACCCCAACGTCCGCAGACAAGACGGAAAGGCGTGAATTGTGTCGTTTTCTCGATGACATTATTGTACGCAAATGTTACATGTGGCAGAACCTCCACCGGCGTATTGTGCTGAACGTCTACATATATGGAAACAAAACAGCGAGGAATTTGTTCAGTCACTCCGTCGAATCGTTAGTACACGGGTGATACGCCGTTGCCGTATGATGGTTCGTACAGCTTAGTTTGAATACATTGTCAATGAGCTTAGCCATGAAAGTGCATGGCCACCGCTTTGTGATGAAGCAAGACGGGGCAACATTGCGGAGAACAATTCGTTTAACCAAAAACTGGCCAACATGGGATGTCGGATCTTGTTATCGTGGCGCATCTCGTTCGGTAATCTATAGCTAAGACTGTGCAATTGCAGCCGGCAGATGACAGCGGCCGTAACAAATTCATTCCTATTTAATGAAATGACACGCTAGGTGGTGTGATTGGTTGAAGCAAGCTTGCAAGATTCAGTGGCAGAGATTTGCGGCTTGGACATTTACTGCAGCATAGTACATAGCGCTTGATGGATGCAGCGTGTTTTGTTCGGGCCAGTAGAACTCCTGTTGAACTCTGGCGAGAATTTGTGAAGGACCTAAGTGACTCGATGAAGGGTATATATATATATATATATATATATATAATATATATATATATATATATATATATATATATATATATATGTGTGTGTGTGTGTGTGTGTGTGTGTGTGTGTGTGTGGGAATGCATAGGGGAGATTATTAGTCGGAATCGTAAGGCAAACTAGAAGGAAGAAAAGTGGGTGAAAAGATAACTTGCCGTGGGCAGGAACCAAACCTGCGACCTTCAAATAACCCGTTCGATGTTCTACCACTGAGCTACCACGGCGGCTATCCTCCCAGCCACTATATTGGGTATATATCTGAATTTAAACGTGGGAGTATCAGTCAGCGCCATCTGTAGCCATGGCTGCTAGTGTGGCACACTCTTTTATGAGCCTGCGTGGCATCTCGTAGCACGTGAATCTATTACGAACTGGCAGCTGAAAGTCTCTCGTATACCTCTGAGAGGCCACGCCGGCCACTTCCGATGAATATTGCAATTGACGACATTTATCTAAAAGTGACGTGAAACGCACAACCCTACAATGCTTTCTTCATGCATACAAAAAAAAACATCTTTGCAACGATCTTTGATGATCGCCATTTTCGCGATCACGATTCCGCATAGCCGTTAAGGAAGGAGCTCATTGCCAGGAAAGTATGACGTAACGTTTGTTTGCTCGTTCGTTTAGTGTTGCGGACGCTGTGCTGAGGCATAACGTGCCTTCGAGCAATCATTCCTCTTAGTTTTCATCCATTCCCATTGCGCAATCACTCGATGTCCAGTGAGCTCTAAGTGACGCAACACGTGAGTTACGCAAGACGACCCTAGCAGACTGCCGGCTCAAGTTGGCACCCAGTGCGGTGTGCAAACCAGGAAGTTGGCAAGGAAAGGAACCGGAGATGATTTTCTACCCACGCTCGTTATCGCACGATTAGTGGGGAATGAGTGGCCACTACTCAAATTAGTAACGGTGATGGCCGTTTGAACTTTCAGGGGTCTTCTGCTTGAAAGAAGAGCAAATGACTGGACGATTAATACGTCGAAAATTGCTATCTATGCACATGTCAAAGTATTGCTTAATTGCGCACCAGGCCCGCTTGAAGCTAGAAAAAATACAAACACGCCATATCTGCCACTCTTCTCAGTTGCTGTTTTTTTTTTGTTCTGAACATGAGAATTTCAACCGAAGTCAGGGTACAGTCGTTGTAGGCTAGTGTTGGTATAATAATAAGGTTATCAATAATAATTTCGGATATTTCACGCTACCTAAGCATTATTACGTAGCAGTGAATAGTAGATTACCTTGTGGATCTTGGAATTTTTGAACGTGTACTTCAATGTTAGGCACATGGCTGTTGGTCCATCTTGTCTGAGAAATAGGGCTTTTTATGCTTTTTATCGCGCAGAGACCGACTGAACAGACTATAAACACAGATCGTGCTGTGCTATTTATGTTTGTGGTGTGTTCAGTCCGTCCCTGTACGATAAAAAAGTGCGATTACCCAAAACACAACTCCCATCAGCCCCTGTAGCTGCTGTGTTACGTCTCGTCTCCAATTAAATGCGGTCGCCGGTGCCACGTATCGAACCTGAGACCTGGAACTAAACAGCCTCGAAGGTGTGGGTATAAGAGTAGGCACGTGCACAGCATAGTGACGAGTCAAAATGTGTTTGTATTGAAGGCATTGTCAGTTGGTCTAACCTTACCGTTGCCGAAATATGGTTGTGTTTTCGTCGATTGATGTATCCGCGTTGAATTCACGGACTTAGAATCCGTGAATTAGGCCGGTAATGCTTAAAGCGCTATTACGTTTGCGTTCTTCTACCATTTCAACGTAGCAGGTGTGGCCCGAAATTGATTTCTAGGTCTCGTCTTAACCACAAGAGCGTCAGAGGCATTACAGTGAGGGCGTAGCTAGGAGTTGCACCTTTCCTTGAATACATGAACTAGCTTCATATAATTTCGAATTGACAACAACTTATGCACCGTCGAAGCTACCACACAGTAGCTACAAACTGTGAATGCGGAATCCCTAGCGTATCTTACCTGAGTTCTGTTACGAACGCACCTGCGAGGTAAACGATGCAGAACCCACTACGCTAAAACAAAAGCTTCGGAAGCGTGAGGCCAATGCATTATTTCATATGTTGGATTCATTGATTCCAATGCTGTTCGAGTGAGTCGGGCGTATGGCCTGCACAGCTCCAAGATGGGCAACCGGCTCAGAGCTGTCCAGAAGGCCCGCAAAGATGCGACTAGGCAATGGTCTCGTCTTCCCAATGATGGGTACCCAAGCCCTGTTCACCGAGCTGTAGGACGCTGAATAAATGTTTTTACTATCCAACAATGAACGCACATACACACACATGCCCGCACACGGTCTCACCTAATGTATCCGTGCCTGCATATGCATCCTGGCTTGCAGTGTCCGCGGCAACCACCGTCAGGCACGGGTAGTCCACACACGAGCTGGCAGTCGGCGCCACAGTCACCGTACGCCTCATTGGCAGCACGGCAGCTTGGCTTCGGTCCACCACCACCGGTTGCTGCTGTGCGCACGCACGTCAGATTCCTTATCTCAATTTCTTGTGAAAAGGAACTAGGCTTTGATAACAGACACGCCATGTTCACATTGTCCAAAGAACTGTGTGCAACCTGTGCCTATCTTTTCAATCTGCACCTTACCTGGCTGTGTACTGCCTATGGAGTGAGGTGCACCTTTGACCATGTGGTAGGGTCGAGTGATGATGTCATGACGTTACGTCTTTTTGTGAGGTGTGATAGTGACGTCATCGTGACGCAATATAGTCTCCAAAACGTTTGGCGGTTTATGATGTCGGCGTCAACAAGAACAAGGCGAAAATTGGCGTGATCAGTGCTTTAGTCATGAAGGCGTATGTTTTGATCACAATAATTTTTTTTCACTGTTCGCGCAGACTCCATTGGTCATTGCTCTTCTTTCATGAGGCATCTAAAGATTTTGCAGTGTTATAACTGTTGACTAAGGCATTGGAATTATTATTATTCTTGACTTGGTCCGGGGAAATCGTTATCAAACACCCATTGGCGCCACCTAATACACACTTATTTTGTACACCTACTACATTTTCCATACAAGTTTCACGAAGCGACTCTCAGAACCACGTAGAGAAAAGCACGGAGTTGAAGTGCGCTCCGTGCCGGTTCCCCAAGGATTCCAGCTGCTCACAATTTCGACACGATAGCGTTGAAAAGCTCTTTTCACAGAAAGTACGGCTACGGTGTCAGTGCCGCTGGTTATAAACGAAAAACGGTATCATTTTAGCGTAAGTAAAAAACTGAGAAAGCTGCGAATAAGAAATCCTTCGGTGCCAGTGGGGATCGAATCCAAAGTGTTTGCGTCGGAGTGGGGATGAACCAGGGACGTTCGCACGGCAAGCGGGAGTTCTACCACAACAGCCATGCAAAGGCTGGCAAATGCAGCGGAAATAATTTCCTCTGCTTACAAACTGCCAAGGAAAGTTACTCTCATGCTTTACAAGCCACATGCGTACCTGTACACCATGGCTTCACAATACAATTGGAAATATCAGGTGACACCACCGTTGTACAAGCGGGCATAGTCCACCGGTGGCGTCACAACCATGAGATTATCATTAATGACTTAATTATGAGTTGAAAGCCAGTCACCGCAGCAGAGGAAGCGCAACATGCTATCTGCACCATTCAAGGCCTCGTAGTGGGTGCATAGGCAAGCTCGAAAAAATTTCATGAACTGTCCTTGAAATAGGGCATTAACCGGAATATCGCGATCACGTTCAACCTCTTAACGCGTGAAACTTGAGGGTACCTAAATTTTGTTAAAGAAACTCAACCAATTAATTTTGATTCATTATTATGACAGTAACTAGTTCTTATCTTCAGCTAAGTTATGTTTCGATATCGCATTCACGCCAATTATAGCGTTAAAGGGAACCAGAAACATTGATTTATGTTTTTGAAAAACAATCTTTTACCTCGGTGAAGCCACAAACTGGTTGAGGGGGGTCCTGAAACCTCCTTAAGCTAGTCTTTCTGGTGTTTTCATAAAAAGTGCTTTGTATGTACGTACGAATACCCTGAAAACCGGGAATGACTTCTCGACTCAGTGGTGTAGCCGATTTTTTTGTATGTGTTGGGAGGAGACACCTCTTTATCGGAAGCGGGAGCCTGGTAGGCGTGATCAAGTGGCATTTCGCGTTTCATGTACAATGGCAAAAAAAGGGAGGGGGGTGTATGGGCTTTGTGTGCCACTTCCTGGCTACGCCAGTAGCTCGACCGGATATATCTGAAAAAAAAACGAGAGTACCAGTAGAACTAATGGGCACTCATCAGAAGACTGAGCTGTGAGTTCCATACCTTTGCGAATTATCTTCAATCCATTGGCGTTGCCAGTCCTGAGAATAGACACCTGTGGCAGCCTGCCTTTGGCAGATGAAGGTGACGAAGGCAAAGTGAGGGACGACTCGATTACTGCCTTCAACGCCGCTATTCTCTGGTCCGTGGTGGTGGCCGCCGATCGAGAAGAACGCCACACTCTGCTATGTGAGACTGGTTCAGCTGCGAGGCATACAAGGAACGCGTCCATCATGAACTGTTCAGAGATACCTTGCCGGCAGTTTCCATGATGCTTTGTATAGCCAGCTTCTATTGGAACAGGCATGCATGAATCGTGTACACAATAAACACCTCATATATGAGGTGCTACGTTGCGGAAACTGTGTTACACCTTCAGGTGTTGTGTGTGCGCAGCTGCTATCGCCTCATCCGGTCTGCCAGCATTCGATGGAACTGCTGCTTCTAGCACGTGTTTCTTGTTTTCTTCCTGCCACTCGACTGCCTTTGAAGATTATCTACATTTTTCTTTAGATGTTCTGTTGTTCCGGCGACTAAATTAATATCCGGCTGGTCCAGTGCTGCTGTGCACGACATTGACATGCCGCCATATACAAGAAGTTCGGTGACCAAGATGTGTGAGTATGCACGTCTCATGCTCGGATTTTGTCGTTATATGCTCTTGCAAGCTGAGCACGAGGGGCACTAAATAAATTAGTGGTATTAGTGTTGTAAATTACGGTATTGCAAAGTGTACGGGATAACCATTAAAATACACTCGACCCACTCGCAATCCGTTTCGCGTTGGGGCTCAAGGGAAACACCGAAAAGGGCGAACAAACGTTGGCACCTTGCTGATGTGGCACTGCTATGGCCACGACATGGCAATGTTATCTGCGAGATGTTCGGTGAACGAGATGTGTGAGTATCCACGTCTCGCGCTTGGATGTTCTCATAAATACTCGTGCGATTGGAGCTTGAGCTGTACACTTACCGGATATGACGACTTGGTGGAGGGAATTAGGGCATTGTAGAGTGTACTGCATACCCTATCAAGTACTCTCGACGCGCACATGATGCTTCGCGTTGGGCACAAGTAAGACTTCGTAAAGGAAAAAGCGACGCCAGACGGCCCAGAAGAGCTTACTGGACAACCGCATAACGGGGTTCGACGATGAGCTGAGGCACAGGGCAACTTCACTTATTACTAACCACCTAAGGCGAAAGTAAAACAGTTACGTGGGGTAATTTACAAGTCTACTTCTCGCTTTGCCTCCGCAAGCACAGGTTCAAAAAAGTTGTCAACAATTTAGAGTAATTGAAACTTTACTTTGGGAGAGCGAGAAGCAATCCCCTGGGCATGCGCTAAGACGACAGCGTCGCACAGATTACATCGCTATACCTCACAGTTTATCGCAATTACTGATTGTATGCCGGGTCACCATTTCACGCAAACTAAACGGCCTAATGTTCTAAGTTTTCTACTTCTGATTAGGATAATAAATAAAAAACTTACAAAAAATGTCTATGTCTTACACTCTTACATTCTAATTGTCTCAATTCAGACTAAACGTCATTCGGTAAACCAAACTTTCTATTTATAACATTTGAAAACAGAATATAAAATCACTGGGCCGGAAATGTTGCCGGGACTGCAGTGACCTTTTGTTGTCAACCATTTCTCATTCGCTTCAAGCCTTCACATTTCCCGCCACTTTTGTCTTGCTTGGATTGACAACAGGTCGTACATTTGAAGTTTGGAGCACTCTAGAGGCCCGGCATGTTGCATGCTGTCGTATGCCGTCATTTTACGTACGTTGTCTTAGCTTGGCGTAACGCAGACAAAGCCACGGATACTATAGCCGTCTGTAGCATTATGAGAGTGCACTCGCTCGCATGAGGTAGAAGACTTTTTCTAGCGCAGTGATGATAGAGCAGATCACTTTAAGGGCTCCCGCTGTCGTATGATGTATTCGCTTGGTGCTTCGCAGGAAAAATCAAGAATAAGAATATATAAAATAGCAAGCAAGTAATCAAAAATGAGGGAGGGAAAGAAATGGATAAAGAAGGAATAAACATCGAAATAACAAGAAGAAAAGAAGAGAACAAAGACAAAGTAGGAGATGAATACAAAAAAGAGAGAGAAAAATAAGGTGATAACAACCAAAAAGAAGGAAAGAGAGGACGAAAAAAATAGAAAACTAAAGAGAAACAAAGCTGCGCACTACGTTTAGGCTTGTAATCCCATTACGTAGCTGCCTTAATTTTATGTTTGGTTTTGCCACTGTGTTGACGAACATGAATGAATTGTTCTTCATGTCGTAAAATTTTGCGCACACTGTAAGCTAAAACTAGCTTTATGGGCACTGGCAGTAAAGTTGGTTGCTTCTCGAAAATATATGGGAGAATGTAAAGAATGGCGGAACATTAGTGCATGCTGCCGACTGGCACAACTCCGATGGACGCTGTAATTGTCTTGCGTTGCTCAAACGTCGTCATACATTCATTGAAATCGGGCTGTATGCTCTACATTCAGTCGGTCGAAGCTAAATAGTCGGGAAATGTTCGCATAGCTCGCACAGGATTACTTTCGTTTTTAGACAACAATTATCTAGGAGCAATCAGCATGTTAGATAACGTCATTCTAAAAGAAATAAAATTGTTTGAACTCTATGTTTGCCTCCATCGAAAATGCAGCCTCCGCAGCCAGGATTCGATCCTGCAACCTCCGTGTCAGCACCCGAGCACCTTAGCCACAAGACCACCACGGTTGGGCAGTCATCTTTAGGTGTGTGGGGAGCTGATGTGGAGCTGCTAAATGCCTAGCACCGTAAGAAATGACCGCGAGAGTAGTTGGTTTCGGTTAAAGGCGAATAACAAGAATGTCTAGCTAAGTACAGTCCACAAACGCGATGTGAGGATGAGGTGCGCCGCAGGCGAGGGTCCCAAAATTTTCGTATATGTGACTGTCTTTAACGTGCACCGAAATCACAATATAGACGGGCCTCTGGCATTTTCGTCTGCTTCAATATGCCACCGCCAGGACCGGAGTCGAACCCGCGACTTTCAGATCAGCTGCCGAGTGCCATAACTAGTGTATCAATAAAACGGACAATTTCAACAAAAAGAACTATTACGAAACTTAATACGACACCTGGATTCAACTTGACAGGATCATGAGCACGCGATGAACTCACCATGGTCCCAGGCTACAGATCCGTAGCAAAATAGTGCAACAGCCAGAAGAAACTGCGCGAAGTAGCATCGAAGCATCTTCACTTACAGAAGTCGACTCGGCGTCCGTCGGGCAATAACTTGGAGACTTTGGTAAGAAGGACACTCGCTTATATCGGAGCCTTCAGAGCCACACGAAAATGCCCGCACGACCTCTAAACCGAGAGACTGCTGCCGGCGGCATGGAGGACGACCGGATGGCTGAAAGCGCGCATACATTTGCTCCGCGTCTTGAAGGCGACTACAGCAGGGCCGCCGAAGAACTGCGCTTGCAAATATTGCTTTTCTTTTCTACCTCGTATGAGTATACATTCGCTTGTGACGGGAGCTAAAGTTGTCTCCTTGCTCGTCTATACAATTCTATAGCAGACCAAGAACAGGTGCGTGACTCAATAGCTCACGGTCGGACCCTGCAGTAAAAAAACGCGATGCCCTATGTAGCGATTGTATGAGTGTACGGTGCTTGTGTGTTGCTCTCTATGCGCGACGTCAAACTGATTTTCGCTACAATGGTTCAGGGCTTGTGTTCCCAAGTGTGACGTTTGGTACGCAGACTTAACAGCGAGTCTTTGTGCAACGCTTGCAAGAGTCACGCCGGATTGTTGGGGAAGAAAGAAATAAAGGAAGGAAAGTAATAAGAAAAAAAAGGAAGGAAAAAACGAAGAAAGAAAGAAATCTAGGCACCACCATGGAACGCAGTATAATAAGAGGGCTAAACACCGGGGAACGTTCTCACCGCAACTGATCCATGACATTCCCACTCGCGCATGTAAATGTGCGCCAACGCTTGTGTACAGATATACAGAGTGTCTTTGCCACTGAGTCGCTGCTCCAAAAACCTTCAACTCCAGGGTGGCAGCTTGTGGCCGTTGTTGCCGTTTTGCCACTGTTTTTCGAGCTCTTGCTTCCTAGGTGGCTTGCTTTTTGTGTAGATGTTGAGCCGCCTATGCCGTGCTCTCAGCTCCGGAGTAACAGCGTGCTGTCGGGGATTCCGCTTCACCTCTCATGGGCGAGAATGCTTTGACAATCATTTTAGTCCATGGAAGAAAGACAAAGGATGGTCTCTTTCTTATTCTCTTCTCATAGTACTTACCAATGTAGCACGCTTATTCTTCATCATCATCGTCATCAGCGTCATCGTCGTCATGGCCTCTATTGGGTACCTTGCGTTAGCTGTGCTGGACTACGGACAAAGCAATTGGAGCCAGCCTAGGCCCCAAGTTGGTTTGTCTCTAAGAAAAAGAAGCAAAAAAGAAAAAGAAGTGTAGAGAACACTGAAATTGGTGGATCTTCCGAACACTGAAATTGGTGGAACTCTCAGGTGCCTTTTAGGGGGTCTACCCACAAGGGATGCCGCTCGCGCTGAGAGCCCGTGCTTGGCCGTTACTGTCGCCATTGTGCATGCTCGCTGTGTGCCGGCTAATAAACGCCTTAACATTTTGGTGGAGGCGCTGTGCCCTTCAAACACCTTCGGTTTACATTCGATGCCCTTGGAGCTTAGATCCCGTACCGTGCCTTCTACCATGCACCAAGACGCCGCTCAGAAAACGCTTCCTCCTGCGCCGATGCCATGTTCCGGTGTCCCCCGCATCCGCGACCCTCCTGTCTTCACCGGCGCGGATGGCACCGACCGTCGAGGACTGGCTCGCCATGTACGAACGCATCAGCGTCCCCAATCATTGGGACGAAGCAGGTGAACTTGCCAACCTGGTTTTCTACCTCGCGGGTGTGGCCGGCATGTGGTATAACAACCACGAATCCGATTTCGACGTGGTCTGATTTCAAGACCGCCATCACCAACGTTTTCGGCCGCCCAGCTGTTCGTAAGCTGCAAGCCGAGCAGCGCTTACGCGAACGCGCTCAGCAGGCCGGTGAATAATTCACCAGTTACATTAAAGATGTCCTGGACCTGTGCAAGAAACCCAACGACAGCATGTCCGAATCAGACAAGATCCGGAACGTCATGAAGGGCAATGACGATGATGCCTTCACGATGCTGCTTGCCAAAAACACAGGCACAGTAGCTGAGGTCTTCACGCTGTGCCGGAGCTACTAGGAGCTCCGCCGGCAGCGTTCGATGACCCGTTGCTCCACACCACGAGATGCAGGGCTTGCTGGCTTGGAGGCGAGCTGTGGTCAGGTGGCATTGCTGGCAGACCTCAAGTCCTTCATACGTGAGGAAATCGCGCGGCAGTTCTCTCTCCTGCCCTTTGCCCACCCACCGGCTGCTCAACAATCGGCCACTACCATTTTCCACCCATCCACTGAGCAATTGAGCAGCAAATAGCGGAGGTCATGCCTGCGTACCACCCACAACAGCTTCCGGCCCCTGTACCCCCAAGTTACGCCCAACTGGTCGCCAGGCCGCCTCCAGTCGTTCAAGCGCCCGCCCCACTGACTTACGCCGAAGCTGCCGCACGACCTCCATCCTTTGCAACGGGTATCCCTGCTATATGTTGACGTGACCTCTCAGACTCAGCTCCATCACCCCCTGCAGCCTTTCCAGCCACCGTTCCGTCCATCGGCTCTTGCGTCATGGACAAGACCTACCCCGGCGAACCGATGGCGCACATCCGACAACCGGCCCATTTGCTTTGCCCGCGGTTACGCCGGCCACGTAGCACGTTATTGCACTCGCGTACAGACGCCCCTTATCTCGTCGCCTGTTGCTGGCCAGATCAGGCGTACCTATCGCGATGAAACGCCGTGTATGCCACCGCCAACTCGCCTAGTTCCATCTTCTCGTAGGTCACCGTCTCCACGACGTCGTTCCCCGTCCCCCATGTGGCGAAGTTTAGTTGCTCGCGAGCGAGAAAACTAGTCGTCGCAGTCCCCGAGGCAAGAGCTGCGACGCTATTGCATTGTGAAATTCCTCAGAGCCGCCCATATAATGTCATTGACGTGCTTGTGGGCGGTGTTCATGCATCTTCTCTTATTGACACAGGAACTGCAATATCCGTTATGGACGAAAACTTTTGCCGCTTGCTTCGAAAAGTGACGACGCCAATTTCTGGGTTGTCGCTTCGTACCGCCGGTTCGCAGCGTATCCATCCTACAGCAGGGTGCACAGCTCGCGTTGTCGTTCAGGACGTTCTGTATGTCGGCCAATTTATCATCATTCCTGCATGCTTTCATGACGCCATGCTGGGGTGGGATTTTCTTTCCCGCAACGACGCCGTCATCCACTGTGCCGTCGCCAAAATTGAACTCTCCCCCTTCTCGCATTTGACTCCGGAAGACAGTTCCTCGAAACTGAGCAAGATTCTCGTGAAAGACGATACGATAGTGCCTCCAAGCTCCACGATGGGTGTATCTGTCTACCGCGCTGGACTCTCCGACACAACTGCACTCGTTTCGCCATCCGACCGTGCTTGCCGAAGGAAAGGGTTGCTAGTACCTTTCGCGACTGTGCAAATCACCCAGGGACACGCCGCTATTTTATTGACCAGCCCATCCCCGTACATGGTACCTTGGTTCGAGGGGAATGTCTCGGCACAGTGGAACCAGTGGATAACGCACAAGTCCTGGACGTACCTGATGACTCGCGTTGTCCCAATTTGTGTACCATCAGTGCTGTTTCCACTTCTGATTCATCATCTCCTGATGTATTTGGCCCCTACATTGATGACAACCTTACGTCGGTACAGCGTTCCCAGCTTCTGGACCTGTTGCGAGAATATCCTTCTTCTTTCGATGTCGGGCGAAGTTCTCTCGGTCGCGCGTACACTGTTACGCATCGTTTCGACACTGGTGCCCATCCACCATTACGGCAACGTCCATACCGCGTGTCGCCTGCTGAACGTCGGAAAATAATGAGCAGGTTGATGATATGCTCAGACGCAACGTTATTCGGCCCTCAAGTGCAGAGGAGATTTACCTGGTTTAAGCACAGGGACGAGGCGGCTGGATTTCCATGAATGAGAGATAAATCCGCTGCTCCACGAGTCGTTGTACACGGATAGAAAGGCCCGTCGAGCTGCTTTTCCGAGATTGCAAAGAGCCATGTACGTGATCCCATCCGGACCAGGCGATGAAGATCGTTTGCATGCCGTCAAGGCCGCTTGTAGTTCCTCTAGGGAGAAAAAGGTGTCAATTCTTTTTTTTTGTTATTTCTCCCTCTCTTTGCAACATTTCTTTTTAACATCTTTCATTCCCCTCACCGCGCACCCCAGCACAGGGTAGCCAGCCGGTCTAAGAACTGGCTAACCTCCCTTTCTTTCCGCTTAAACTTTCCTCCTCCTCCTATTCGGCCCTCAGACAGTCCTTGGGCGTTTCCCGTTGTTCTTGTTGCGAAGAAAGATGCCTCTGTGCGGTTCTGTGTGGACTACAGACGGCTCAATAAGATCACTCGTAAGGATGTTTACCCACTGCCACGCATCGATGACGCAATTGACAGCCTTCACGGAGCCGAATTTTTTTCTTCTCTCGATCTGCGCTCGGGGTACTGGCAAGTACCCATGGCTGATGACGCTCGACCGAAGACTGCGTTCATCACACCCGACGGCTTGTACGAATTCAACGTCATGCCGTTTGGTCAATGTAATGCGCCTGCGACCTTTGAGCGCATGATGGACACCGTTTTGCGCAACTTGAAATGGCAAACGTGCTTGTGTTACCTCGATGACGTTTTTGTGTTCGCTCCAGATTTCTCCACGCATCTCCAACGTCTGAAAGAAGTTTTTGCACGTGTCAGCAATGCCAGCTTGCAACTAAAACTGAAGAAGTGCCGCTTTGCAGCACGGCAACTCACCATCCTTGGGTACGTCGTGTCCAAGGATGGCATTCTTCCTGACCCAGCCAAGTTTCGGGCCGTGGCCGAATTCCCCAAACCGGCGTCCATCAAAGAACTGCGTAGTTTCGTGGGCCTGTGCTCACACTTCCGACGCTTCATACGAAACTTTGCCACCATCATATCACCGCTGACGAAGCTCCTTGGAAGTAACGGGTCCCTCAATTCGTGGTCGTCTGAGTGCGATGACGCGTTCGCGAAGCTCCACCATTTGTTGACGTCTCCTCCCATTCTACGCCACTACGACCCTACGGCCCCGACGGAGGTGCACACA